CCTCAAATGGCTCCGGGGGGTGAACAAAGGCCTCCTGTAGCGAATCGATGCGTATTTGTAAGACAAATATCCATATTTAAAATGTAATATTCACTTTAATGTAGCTTGCACCAGCAGTTGTACACAGAAGCAGCTCCAGGAGCATGACGTATGAGGTCAGCATTGCACATGTGCTTGTGAGTCTCGTGAAAACCAACGTTTGTTAACAGGAGCAAAGGAAGCAAAGTTTCCTTACTTTAGCAAAGGAAAACCAGTCTCCTCTTGGCTTATATCGAAATCCTCCAACATTCTTCTTTACAAATCCTCATTTTGTACTTCTAATTCGTGACCGTTGTTTTGTTTTGATTTCTCCCTTGCGCTTCCGCGTGTGTCACTTCTGAGCGGCGCATGCGCAAAGCTGAACTCATACGTCATCCGCCCGGAGCTGCTTCTGTGTACAACAGTGAGCGCAAGCTAGATTAAATTGATTAAGTTTTAAATAAATACGTTATTTTTCTTACAAAAACGCATCGATTCACTACAGGAGGCCTTTGTTTACCCCCCGGAGCCGTGTGAGACACTTTTTATTATGGACGGCTGTCCTTTATTTCAATTACTTTGGACTGATGAACTGCAACACCCGCTGACTGCCATTAAACAGCTTGGAAGATCAAAGACAATTTTTTATATAACTCTGACTGGATTCGTCTGAATGAAGAAAGTCACATACACCTAGGATGACTTGAGGGTGAGCAATTCATGGGCTAATTTTCATTTTTGGGTGAACTAACCCTTTTAAAGGAAAAATTTTAATTTGAGATGTAGATGAGTTTGTTTCTTCATCAGATATGGAGAATGTAGCATTACATCACTTGCTCAGCAATGGATCCTATGCAGTGAATGGGTGCCGTCAGAATGAGAGTCCAAACAGCTGATGAATTAACATCAATTCAATCAGTTAACATCTTGAGAAGCCAAAAGCTGTGAGTTTGTAAGAAATAAATCCATCAAGACGTTTTTAGCTTCAAACCGTTGCTTTCAGTTAAAATACGATTCCACACTGAATCAGAGAGAAATATGTACAGATCAACCACAGTTTACAAAACAGCTCTTAACAAATATGCAGTGGATTTTGATGTCAGAGACAACAGGAGACGGACTTTTTCACTGGAGGAAGTGTTATTTTGGATTATGGACTTGTATTTTAACCGAAAGCAACAGTTTAAAGTAAAAAAAAACGTCTTGATGGATGTGTTTGATCTCCTTGTTTATCTGCATTTATTTGACTGTATATTTGTTCTCATGCTCAACTTTTCCATAACTACCTTTGTAACTTCCAGCTCCTTATCTTTGGCTTGAAGAACTTGCTTGAATCCTTCTCGAGCGTGTTTGAGCTCCTCGATAACTTTCCGGTGCTGGCAAAGCAAAGGAAAACATTATGTAACACTTGCGCTTGAGCTCATAAAATATTGATGTGCAGTTTATTTTTCTTACCTCTTTCAATGCCTCCACAAGTTGTTTTTTCAAGCCATCCTCATTCTGTTGTGCTTTTTCAGTCTTGAGAAAACGACATATATTAGTGTAAACACACAGACAACATTATCATAGCTTTATATTATGACCCGCAGCCTCTCGTTATAACTTAAATAAGCTGTAAATGAATAGAAACCTGCTTCATCCATATGAGCACCATCTTTTAGAACTTTTAAATCATGGCTCCAACCAAAAGAAATGTTTTTAGATGAAGCAGAAGCTTTTTAATGTTTTAGAAAATCAAGCAAAGTTTGCAGCAGATGATACAACTTTAATAAGCAAGGCATTTCAGCTACAGCTTATGCTTTATTAATTCATCTAAATGAGATGATCGTGGACTCCTAATGGGAAAGCTTGTTCAAACCTTGCCACAATGATCGAGATACAGCTCTGAAATGCATGTGGTATGTTTTGATTATAATAATATTTATTAATATTTTGAATTAGCTTTTATTTTTATATATTCAGTTTCATTTTAATTTTAGTTCGTTTTAGAAATGTTGTTACGTTTATCATTTTATTATTTGTTAAATTACCATTTAGCTTTTTTTTTAGTTTTAATAATTTAAGTACTTCAATTTAAACTTATTTCAGCTAGTTTTTCATTTAAATTATATATTTTTATTTTTAAACTTTATTTCAAATAACAAAAATATTTTTTGATGACCACGGGACTCCAAATGGGAGCTAGATATATTAAATAAAGAAATAAATACATACATAAGTAGTAAATATCCTCATCCAAACCTCACCTACCATGGTATTTAGAGTCAATATCACTTATATACTATTATCATATTTGTAGTTTGTCATTTTATTCTATTTTAGTCCTTTATATATTTTTTCATTTCTATAAAAAATACGATAAAATATAATTCTATAAAACTCTATAAAATTAGCTTTCATTTCATTTTTATTTTAGTACTTAAAATTTTAATTTTGGTTTCAGTTGCCAAGGCAACATTTCTAATTTTCACTTTTCTAATATTAACCCAAAATGTTTTTCACCTAATATTTTATTTTAGCTTAATTTCAAATAATGAAAATGATTTTTGATGAAAATGATTCAGTAAAAACTAACACTGGTCATCAGTCATCACTACACTTTGACTGTAGCCGAAGCTGAATACTTGCATACTATATAGTAGCTGAAAAACAGTATGCGAGCAGAGTAGTACTGTTTGTCCAAATTCATGGTATTCATAAAACAACAGGTAAAAAAAGTACCCGGATAACATACTATTTCAGGCGAGATTTGAAGTGTGCATATGATGGACACTTTACTGTACAATGAGGCCATGGGAAGGATTTGTCAACAAATGCAGCCGTTCACTACATACAAACCCAGCCCTCAAAAATCATCACTTCACCTCCAGGCGTCGTTCCTCCTCACAGAAGGATTTCTCCAGGGTCTCCATGCGTTTGAGCGCCTGCTCCTGCTGTGACCTCAGCTGACCCCGCAGCATCTCCAGCTGCACCTGCAGATCCTGCATCTCCCGCTCTCGCTCCGGCGTCTGTTGCTGCTGCAGCTCCAGCTCAGCCGCGCGCTTCTGCGTGTCGCCCACGCGGCCCTTCAGGAACATCAGGTTCCTGTTGTAGCGGTGCACACTAGCCAGCTGCTGACTGCGGTCACTGCAGCCGCTCGAGCTGCTTCCAGCTTTATCGCCGCATCTGTCCTCCTCCAGAGGTTTAGAGGAACATTTCTCCGGTTCCCGGCGGTCCCCGGATGGGCAGGGCTGCGCACGCGACTTATCCGGGCCGGAGCTGCGGTACAGCTTGGATTTGGAGTGCTGCGTGGGACACGGCTCCGACTCGTCTCCATCGAACTTACGCTTGGAGTTTTTCAGTTTTTGGCCAAAGGAAGCAGCGCCAGATTCTTTGCTAAGATTCCCCGATAAGAAGGATTTGACTTCACTGAAATTCTTCTGGACGAGGATGTAGTCGAACTCCACGGGGTTGCCGTCGAGAGGGACGCCGAGTCGCACAGAGTCACCCTGCTTCAGTAAACAGGGGTTTCCAGGCGGTATTCGGCTCCCGTTCACCCACACGCCATTCAGACTCTGGGTAGAAATACAAGCAAAGGTAAAGGTAAAAAAAATACAAAACGCTGTTTTACATTTACAGGGCAGTTATTTTAGTATTATTTGCATGTTATTATTTTTATTAATATTTACAATTATTTTATAATTTATCAAAATATATAATTTCTTGCTTTCTGTTTTTACTCTTAGTAATTTTGTTATGGATTTTATCTTTTATATTTCGATTTATAATTTATTTTCTACACTTAGATGGCACCAGCGTTACTTTAGTATTATTTATACACTATTATAATATTTATCAATATTTTGAATGTGCTTCATGTGTTATTTTCAGTTTTCTTTTTAATTTGAGTAGTTTTAGGTGCTTTGTAATCTTTATTAGTCTTTTAAAAACACTTCTAAATTTAATTAATTTAATTTCACATTTACATTTAGATTGCACCAGTGTTATTTATATGCAATTGTAATATTTATTCATATTTAATTAGCTTTTTATATATTTTCAGTTTAATTACATTTTAGTCTAATTTTTTATAATTTTGTTGTGTTTTTGCCATTTTTATTAGCTTTGTTTTTGTTTTGTTTTAAATATTACTATTTAACTTACTTTTTTTGTTGTTGTTTAGATCCCACCAATGCTATTTTAGCATTATTTATCTACTATTATATTTGTTATAATTTTGAATAAGACTTCTCTCTCATGTTTTTAACTTGTATTTTTAATTTTAGTCTAAGTTATGTTCTTGTGTCATATGTATTAGTTTAAAATATTAGATTTAATTATTTTTTTAATTTCCGTTTTAAATTTAAATGGCACCAGTGCTATTCTAGTATTATTAATATACTCCGATGCTATTTATTAATATTTTGATATAGCTATTAATATTTAACTTTAATTTGTAAATTTTCAGTTCTCTTTTTAATTTTAGTTTGAGTCATTTTCATTAGTTTTTAATAATACTCCCATTTACCTTTAATTTTATTTCCCTTCTGTTTTACATTTAGATTGCGCCAGTGTTTTTAGTATTAATATTTACTATATTTTATTAATTACTTATATTGAGCTTTAATGTATTTTTATTTCAGCTGTTTCAGAGCCTGTCAGGACAGACTGACAAATAGACAGACACTACACAGACAGACACTACACCTTATTGTCCGTCACGGTCCACTGTCTGTCCTCGCTTCTCTTGAACACACAGTGAGTTCTGGATATCATCAGCGGACAGCTGGCAGACAGGATCTGATGGGTCACATTCAGACCACGGCCAACAGAAACCTGAATAAAAAGAGACAGGAGAGCCACAGGCAATCATATATTTAGTATATCATATAGAAATGCATTCCTATTTGAAGCCATTACACACATAGTTGTAGTCCCAAAACTCTCACACTTAAATCAGAATGAGTTAAATAGCTTTTCTATGTTATATGTGCAATGAACATGAGAATACAAAGTGTTGCTTTGACTCCAACATTCATTCAGGTCGATGTTGTTTCGATTTGGAATAATTCTGTCTCAACTTGTAGTTAAACAACGCCACATAAAGCTTAATTTGACCTCAGGAAGAGCTATATCTCTGAAAATAATTGGTTTATTCTGCAAACATGCACCTCTGAGTCCTCGGACAGACGCAGCCAGTCACGGTCTCTCCCCACGCGCTGCAAACACCAGATTTTCTCTTTTTCAGAACCCTCTTCCTCGGTGTTTAAGGAAGGAGGCTCTTCAGTCTTCTCCATCATTCCTGCGCCATTAATTCTTGTGAAATTATATTGTTGTTATTGTGTGCTGTCCGCCATGAAGCTGCAAAGTAGTTTTCCACAAGACCTTCCGCTCTACGCTCTTGCGCGCGTCACGTGACGTCCAGCGTAGCTTCTGATTGGCTCTGGGGGTTTGGCGCTTGAAGATAATTGGCTGAGCTGCACAGGCTTCTGACTGTGACCGTTGGTGCTTCTCCGCTGGAGGGCAGTTGGAGGCTCACAGAGCCGAATTCTTCATTGAGCAGCATATCAACGCAAATACGTTTTTTGTCTTAATAGAAACATTTGTAAATTTCATTTTAAATTACATTTCACATGTTACTACCTGCCTTAGAAGTTGAAACGAGGGCAGCCATTTCAATAAAATCACATTTTATTTTTAAAACCCTCATCGATTAAGCACAAACGCCTGTGATTGTGTCATCCTGATCAACGCTGAGAAAAGTAACACGTACCACGTGATAACGCGGTGCACCGTTTTAACAGCGTTCTTGACAATAATATATATTTTTTTTTTTTACTTGTATTTGTTTTTTACTGTACATTCTCACTTTCTTCATATTGTAGTCTATATTCAATATTTTTCTATACTATATGTTGGAAATGACTACTCTCGTGTTCATTGGCTGTAATATGTCTGGAATTAAAAAATAATAATAATAAATATCAGTAAATAGCTATTTAATTTAAAATATTCAATTTTTTAGACCTATTTGATGAATTAGCGACACCGTCGTAAGTCATTTTTAATAACGGTAAATATTTTGTGCCTTGCTTTACTGTATTTACTTTGTGTCTCAATTACCATTTCATATTTACTATATATAAACATTTTATTTATTTTTTATTTTTTTTATATAGTGAGTGGTTTAGTAGCTATATCTATCGACCCCTAGTATTTATTTTTTGTCATATTTTTCTGTATAATACTATCTAAAATATTACCTTTGGTCATTATTTTCTTAGGGTTATGATCTTGACGCACATATAAAGTAAAATTCTTATTTTCAAACAAAAAAAAGTGTGGCTCTTTAAACCTCTCTGAAAGTAGGCCTAAACAAACGAAGGTTATCTTATCTGAACAGAGCTTACAGTAAGACAAACAGCAACAGACAAAGAAAACCGAGCCAGATCATTATGAAGTAGGCTAAAGTATAAGTCTAATAAAATATTTATGAAATTGATATGAATTATTTTCCTGCTCTGCCAGTGTCTAAACACAGGCCAGGCACTACTGAAGATGTTTATACCTCATTAAAGAGACACAAATACAGAATATGATATTATTCACGCGATATATTATAAACAAACTCAGTTTTAAAATGCCAAACTCTCAAAAACAACAGAAAATCATCAAAAGCAGTACCCCTTATTCATAAATTCATTAAATCAGAGAAAATAGAGCAATAGAATTACACAGATGTGATTCAGTATACACTCCTGAACATGCCGACATGATCAATGCATCTTTGGCTCAAAGCTAAGTTCCTTTACAGCGATGTGAAAGACTCATTGAAAGTTATCGCAAACACTTGATTGCAGTTGTTGCTGCAAAGCGTGGCACAGCCAGTTATTAGATTTAGAGGGCAATTACTTTTTCACGTAGGGCCAGGCAGGTTTGGACAGCTTTTTTCCCTTAACAAAATAAATCCTCATTTAAAAACTGCATTTTGAATTTACTTGCATTATCTTTGTGTAATATTAAAATGAGTTTGATGACCTGAATCTTTTAAGTGTGACAAATATGCAAAAAATTTTAAAAACAGGAAGGGGGCCAACACTTTTTCACACCACTGTATATGAATATGGCTTTTAGAGATAGCATTATGATTTGATTTTGTAAAATACGTTTCACTCTCTTACCCGTACAAAAGAAAAAGATCACTAGAGCAAGCAATCTCTCTCTCTCTCTCTCTCATACGCACTCACACATACAGTATTCACTCCAGTCAAAACAGAATAAAAGAATGCATTTCAGATCCATTTCCACAAAAACATTTGGCAACTCTTTTGAGCATGTCAGCTTTTCCTCCATAAAGCTATAACGGAAATCACAGAAAGGAAACACATAAAGAAGGTCAGCGGGGAAAAAAACACGAGGTCCACCTTTGTACCTTCAAAACTCTCCAATCCAAGCACAAAGGTGAGTTTCTTTGGCATCATGTCAAGGCTGTAAATGCAACATTTCACAACTTATGTAATTCTTCCATCCCAGGCACGTTTATGCTGCTGTGACCCTAACTTCCACCGAGTGTCTCAGTTGGGAAAGTTGGTTGCATGCAGTTCACAGTGATTATGGATAAACGTCTGGAGCCAAACCTGTTTAACTGATGAAAATAGCATACATTTACGCAAGACATCAAACACAGTGTAAGACAACATGTCAAAAAAAAAAAAAAGAAGATTATTAGAAAGGATGGAAAGCACAAATGCAAACAGACATATGAAAATGTAAGAATGTTTATAAGGCACATTAAATACAAACTCACACATCTAAATATACCACCAAAATATGTCCCAATGTTAAAAAATATAAAACAACCCGAAAGAGCTTCTGTTTTGGAGAAACGCCAGTAACGGAAGACAGAAGGAATGGCACATTCAAACTATTGTCATTTACGATTAACTCCCATCTGCATGCTGTTTGCTGGAAGGTTTATGATTTTTCTTTTACAGGAAAAAGAAACTTAAAATGCATGCAAGGTTTTGCGACTTGAACAATTTCCTTATGTTCAACAGTGTCAGTAATATTTCAATGATGTAAATCTGCTAAAGGCATGGCCTCGTGAATCTCAAGAAACACATTTCACCACAAAACCAAACAAGAAGTGATTTTTTTTTACATATTTCTGAGCTATATGTATAAAAATAAAGCCAGTTTTATCAATTATTATTATTACCATATTATTAGTGTTGTGAGATTTTCAACACGATTAAGCACATTTCCAACTACAAATTCTCATGATCATAAAGTCAGAGATACATCATTGAAATGGTAAAGCATTCATTTATCATGGTGTTATTTGTTGTACACTCAAAAAAATTGGTGTAGAATCTATTTTCACTCAGAAATTGCTAGTAAATTTCACAATTAATTACAAAGAAACTGCACATCGAATTAAACGTGAAATTTTGAAGCAGAAAGACTGAAATAATATTTTCTTGTAAAACGTGCTCCAATAATATTTGTTTTAATAACTTATTTTGTAACAGTGCACTGGCCTTTAATTCATGCTCATTTAAATAAAAGAAAATTACAGTAAATTTTTACTATAAAATATAAACAAGTTGTAAGATTACTGGAGTTCGTTTTACAAGAAAAACACAATTTCAGTCTTTTTACTTCAAAATCTCATGGTTAATGTTTCTTTGTAATTATTTGTGAAATCTACTAGCAATTTTCTGAAACTACTTTTACTCAGAAATTGCTAGTAAATTTCACAAATAATTACAATAAAATGGGCACTAACACATTGAATTAAACATGACATTTTCAAGAAGACTGAAATAGTATTTTCTAGTAAAACATACTCCAAATAATCTGTTTTATTTTTTTAAATATATTTTTTTATTTATTTTTAGTATGGGAATTACAAAAAAGTAGAAAAAAGCATTCTACAGTAATGAGAATTTTTGTCTTTTGATTTTGGTATGAAAATTCAACCTGTTTTTTTGTGAGATTCATCCACATTTAGCACAATATTCACACCATTATAGCTCGCGTTTTCCTATTTTTGCTGAAAGCAAAACCTTTAACCTGCATCATGTAACCCTGATATTCTGAATGGCACTTAATCGGTCATAAGTGAAAGCGTCCAGCTCAGAGTCGAGCTGCGTAGTTGATGCACAGCGTGTGATCGCGAACATCCCCCCATCCTCCGTTCTTCATGTGAGGCTGATGCTCCACCGGCCCGTGGTCTGTCAAGGTCAAAACCTGTGGGAAAAGCGCCGATTGTGCCTCTTTAAGCGCCGCATCCACCCTCTCCTGAGACTTTTCCGGCCGGCAATCCTCCTTTTGATGCAGGCCGCAATCTCCCGTGTGAAGAACCCGACTTCCACGAGCCACCAGAGCCTTGAGAGGTTTGGAGATGCACGTACCAGACAAGCTCTGCAGGGTCCAGTCCCAGTTATAATCATCATAGGTGCAGAATGCATGATTGCATCCCATCAGTTTGTAGTAGAGCTCTCTGGAGATGCCCATTCCAATGTTATGCTTGGTGGACAGCCATCCTGCCGTCTCGGTTTTGCTGGAAAGCTCGCGGAAGCCTGATAAACCGTCATGGTTGCCTACGGCGAGGATGTCGCAATCCCCGCATTTGGCTTTCCTGAGCTCGGTCATGGATTTGAAGTATTCGTGGAAATCTGGGAGAAGGTAGTTGTCTTCCTCGATGAACACGACAAAGCCGTTGTATCCCAGAAGAACCCTCACTCGCTCGAACACGAAATGCAGCTTCCACCACCAATGGTGTTTGGTTTGGGTGATGGACGCTTCCCTGTAGTGTCCGTACGAATCCGGGTGCTCCGCGTTCGAACAGCCCTTTTTTACGGCGTCCTCCTTCGATATGTCTCTCGGACAATCTTGAGGACCCTGTCCTGGGAATTCATTGGGATACAGCTGGATGCCGTAGGGGAAATAGATCTGGAGGACCCTGCAAAAGGTGATTCCTTTGACCATATCGGAAATTTCCTCCGAGAAATAGTCGTGACTGAATATCACGAGCGTGTTCTGTATTCCAGTGACTTTTTCCAAGGACTGTATGAGCATTTTGAGGTACGCCGGACGATTGTGGACTTGCACGACGACAACCACCTCGGGATCCAATGGAAACTTGTCTCCATTCTGAATGAACTGGTGGTAGTTGCTGTCATAGACAGACTTCCTCATATTCTCAATGGTCTCGTAGTCAAATTTAACCATTATAGCAGTCTGAGAGATCTCTATTTCAGTCACCTCCACGTTTGCTTCACTTTTAGTCCATCGTATGGTGTAAAACAACATTATAAACACAATTAAAATGACAAGGAACGCAATAAAGTTCTTCTTCAACAACCGGAATCTCATTTTCACAGTCAAAAGCACCGTGGAAATCAAAAGCTGTGGATCATATGCTGCTGTTACGCGTCTGTTGTGGACACAACCCGGGCATTTCCACCGCGAGCGTTCAGGTGAAACACTAACGTCGCTCTGTCAAGAGAAGTTCATGCGTGAGTTTTGTCCTCTGAAAGCGACTCGTAACGCGGCGCGTGAGATGCTGATGATGATATTTTGTCGTAAGTCTGGTTGTTTGTAAAGCGCGAGCTACTCACCCTCATAAAGTGTCATATGCAACAAAGTTGGAAGCAGGAAGAGAAAGCGCTGAGAGAATGAGGAGGTCTCTGCTGCTGACGTGTGCTTACAGTACCAGCAGCACGCGCTCGCTCCTCCTCACTCCAACAAAACACACAGCTACACTTAGCACATACTTAAGATATGTCTTATGTTATTATTTTTTAAATATATCAGTAAAATCTGTTAATATATTATGCACTCATAAATAAGTATCATTTTAATTATTATAGCCTACTATTATTATAAAAAAAGAACATTATAATTAAATGCAAATAGGTTTTAAATTTCGATGTTTTATATTATATTGTTTTATTTATATTACGCACACAACGCACATTGTTTATTTATGAATTATGTGAATATATATATATATATATATATAGATAGATTTTATAAAATGTATTAGGAATATTAAACTATATATATGTATACAATACATATAATTATTTCACATAATTATTGTTTTACTCGCATGTAAACAA